TAGTTTCTTCTCTATATTCAAGCGTTCCTTTATTGCCTCGTATATGGAAAACATCAGTCGTACTGCCATTGTCAGAGCATTCAGTTCCATTTTTGGGATTGTGTGTATTTGTTTCACCAACGGCAGTTTGGATTTTCCTGCTACGAGAGCTGCTCCTTTTTCCGATGTGATGTATGCACATGTAGCCATACCAATGCTGCTAGTGTCGGAAAAAAGTATGAAGTTTCACAATCCCGTTGATTTGTGCAATTCTTCTGTTGAGTTTCCGCTGGAAGCCATCAACTTTCTGTAGAATTTCTTTCCACTGCTGTTGGTGCTTTTGAGAAATGGCTTCATCCCAGCTGTAGTCGTTTTTCCATAGATGTTGCAAATCGCTTTCCGTGAAGTGTGATTGGCGTCATCCATCCGAGTGGATCGTAGATGGAGGCTATCTGTTCAGAGACAGATCGTTTTGTGATTTTTTTTCTTGGAGGGATATTTGCAAGTAATAATTAGCTCGTCGTCATTCGTATTCCACAGTATCCCTAGGATTTTTTGAGTAGCGATTTCGCTCAGATCTTTCCTTTTTATATAATGTTTTAGTTTGTCATCGTTGGAAATAAACTCTCTGAGATTCATCTTCATTTCCTCGAATATGGTTTTTGAATTTTCGTAATAGTAAATCGCTTCCGCCGTAGATCTGGCTGTCATTATTACATTGTCGACATATGTGTTGTTCAGGATTTCTCGTGCAATCCGAGTGTGTTTTGTGAGTGTTGTAAATGATATTTGACTTGTTCCAGCGAGAAGGAACGGCGAGCATATCAGTCCAAAGGTGACCCGACTGAAGCGATATGTGATGATGTTGCTTTGAATTAATGGTCGATCTATGTCTCTCAGCCATAAGAAACGAGTCGCGTCTCTGTCTTTTGAGTAAAGCCTCAGTTGTAAAGGCTTTTTCAACATCGCTTGCAATAGCGACATCTCCTATTCAAAACCGCAGTAGAATGTCCCAGAGTTTGGGCAGCATGACAGGTCCGCGATGGAGCACGTCGTTGAGAGAAGGTGCGCCTTTCAAGTGGGCAGAGGCATCATATACGATTCTTAGCTTAGTTGTGTTCTTGTGTGGTGTTACAACCGCACGATGAGGCAAGTAGTGGACAATGTCTCCATCGGGGGCTTGGTCCTCGTCGACTCTTTCAATGATAACGTGTTTTAGTTGAAATTGTAGCGTTTCCTGATACTGCTGTAGTATTTCAGGAGTAGGTTTCAGTTTGTTGAGAAGTGCTTGTAGGCGGCGTAGAGCATCTGGTAACTGCTCAGCTTCTTTCCTTCCAAGGGAGACGTACATAGTAGCCGTCCTCTTTCCGTTCGATCTTTTTCTCGAACTCATTCCATATAGCGTGTTCTGTCCTTCTACGTTCTTCTGTTTTTGGGCCGACAAATTCGCCCACTCCAGACGATTCGAACGTGCAGAAGTCTTCCCACGATTGTACTGTTTCTTCGGATTCCATTACAGAGTGAATCGTCATTTGCTTCTTACTCTTTTTCTATTGTCGTAGACCGGCTATTGATTCCTGCTACTAGATAACCAAGCTTCGAAGAAATGAGTCGATACCCTGATGGTAGTATATGTTGTGATGCCAAGCCTTGATCCAAAAGAGAAAGAAGGTCGGTGCAGTTCAGAAGAATTTGAGGGCGAATGCTTGTCAAATTTGGGTTTATGGAGAGTTGCAGCTCATTATCAGAAAGGAACTGTCTATCCTCTAGGCTGAGGCGGTTCCGTTGCAGTGGTTCTGTGATTTTGTCGATTCCTGCGACTTTGAATGAATGATGAGTGCCATTAGCGTCCCAGATTTGGATGACCGTGACACCAAATGTTTTTGTGATTGGCTGCTGTGAGCCGAAAGTGTTTACGGTGAGTTCAGTAGACTCAATATTTTTGAGATGCTATCTCCTGGCGAGTGTGTTGCTGATGAACGATCGGTCGGCTCCCGAATCGAGGATGATGTGAACCGACTCGAAAGTTCCTAAAGGTGGGTTTAGTACTTTCGCCTGCCCTGCTAGAACCATGTCGTTCTCATAGTTGAAGTGAACTGCGGTATCTTCATTTGGTCTTAGGTCTTGGTTGGAACCTAGAGTGTTGGCATTTGACACTCTTGACGATTCGTTCTGTGTAGTTTTTGCTGTTGGTTTCCTTGCGTTTTGTGATGTGTAGGAAGTGTTGTTTGGAAAGAGGGTTCAGATAGAGGTGTGGTGTCCAGTAACACCACACAATCTGCAGGCCCCCTTGCGGCACGTTGCTGTTGTATGGTCCTTTTTTTTGTCCGCAATTGTGGCAAAGTTTTTTGCATCTTCATGATGTCCAGACGTTGTTCGAGTGAAGAGACTTCATTGCAGTTTTTCGCAGAATGTCCTGTTTTTGTGCAGTAGAAACAAGGAGCTGAGGTTTGAAACTTCGTTGGTTTTCTATTGGACGTGGTCCCTCTTTCTTCTCTTGCACCCTTTCCTTGGTATTCTCCGATGTTGTAACCGTGCCGTTCAACTTGACTGATGATTCTCAGTTCAGCTTCGATGAACTCTTTTGCGGATCTCAAGAGGGCCATAGTGCTCCACGTTCCTTCCGCCTCTATCTTTGTTTTCTGACGGAGAATCTGTCTTTGAACGTCGACGGAAAACTTTCCAAGTAGCTGTTTCTGTAGAAATGTGTTATCGATGTGTTCCCCATGTAGGTGCAGTTGCGACGTAAGGGAAGTGAGTTGCTCGCACAACGTTTCTTGATCTTCGAGACTGCCACTCTCGGCTTTTGCCGATTGCAGCTTACTCAAGTCGATCTACTGACTCTTGTGTGTCTCCATACTTCCTCTTTAGGTGAGCAATGACTAGAGGATATGTGTGTCCGGCGACTTGGAAATGCTTAACTGATTCCTTGGCTGCTCCTTGTAAAGCATCAAGGAGGTAATTCATCTTATACATGTCATCGATGTTTTGGGAATGTACATTGCGCTCAAAGCCTTGCCAAAAAGGCTCCCATTCCCAGATATCTCCATTGAACTTCGGTATCGGTACTGGATTGAGCGTGACTACTGGATTCCCAAGTGCGCTATTTCGTTCCTCTGAGTCTTTCAGTTCCTCCTGGAGCTCCGTAAGCTTCCTCAACTCGTTTTGAGCCTCATCCAGGATCTCCTGTGCAGCTTCGATGTGTTCCTCTGTACGCTTCAGTAGGTCCGGTTTCGAGTTCCCATTTGCGTTGTCGATTGCTTCAGCGTATCGGTCGAATCGCCTCTTCAACCTTTTGTACCTCCATCGAAATAGCTGCTTTTGCCTTTCTAATTTGCTTTTGCACCTCATTTATGTGTTGACTTTCATTGTTTAGATTAAAGTTACTTGTTTGTGTTCTGAGTAATCCTACAAGACGATTTTGTGCCCTTGTCAGTACACCTTGGCGTGTGGTGATCAGAGAACACTTTTTTCTCTCTTTCTCAAATTGAATGGCAAAGAACTTGAAACTTCTGTTTAGGCAGCTACTTGAATGGTGACTAGTTACTCACGGTTGGTAGGCTCTTCTTTTCGGATGCGGTGCCGATGCACCATGTAGTGATTGTAGTATCACTGAGTACTGCAGCCGGTGTAGTGTAGTTGTATCCTATACGCTGCCACGCGGGTCTTCGGAACGTTTATTGCTACTGCTTGCGGTAGACCAACAAAAGGGGGGTGAAGTCAACATTACCGCGGCAGTCCTTTATACTGCCGCGATAAACAGGCAAAGTAAACAAGAACTTCATTTTCACAGTATCACGTGCTGGGAATGGTTATAGAGTCTTCTCTATACAACCTAATATGAAAGATGGGAAGCTTTAGTAACCTCTCACACAAGCTTTATAGGAATATAAGGGGGGAGGAGAATCGAATGACTTTATGAAATACCAATCGGATCACGCGGCTGTCGCCGGGTGCTCTGCCTTTAATCACAAACCCGGCCATCGCCGGGCTGGCCTGGCTTCGCCAGGGCACTCTTTCTTTAGGCGAGGTAGAGTGTGCAAAATACGCCAGACTGTCACAGATCATTTTCCAGCAAAATGTAGAAAAATAATTTGAAAATAGCTCGAGCAATGGGTTTGGACCGGCGCTATGAGATTCGTGTTAAAGAGACAGACGCACACGCCACGTAGCTCCCAATGTAGCGCTGAAAAATCTATCCTTTGGTCCACTCTTTCTCTCGGAGTTAGTACCAAAAATTTCCATAACACTCACACGAAAATTCGGCAACCTGTTAGTAGCCTTTGAAGCATCCTAGCGCTTGATGCGCTCTCCACTACTGCAGGTTTCTTCTTCTGGAATGCACTCCCGCATTCGGGCAGTTAAACGCTTCGAATGGTCCTCTCTCAGATTGTTGATGAAAGATAGTCATAGACATGGTGATAAAGCCAGTTGCTGCAGTTCATGCCAACTGAGTAAACAACCGCCATGCTTCTGAACTCCAGTTGCTTTAGCGGCCGTACATGATGTCAATAACGATAAAGCCCAGGAGTGAGTTGTGTGCGAACTACTGGGAGCCTGATACCTGGATCATATCAATCGCATATGGATGTAAGCGGTGTTGCGGATTTCCGCATGATGAGGTTTTCATTTCTTATCAGTCACTTCGTCTCACCCGTCAGTGGGTGTCCGCCCCTCCCCCTATACCACTTCTTGGAGCCAAGGTCCCATAGATCTGCAACCTGCCCTAAGAATTTGGTGGCCTGCAGCATTTCAGGTCCCTTATCAAATCTTATCATATGTTATTAGATTTTGTCACCCACCCCGTCCCTCCTGTATACCATCTCGGAACCACGGTCTCAATTCACTGCAGCCGATGTTAGGAATTGGGTGACCCTCCGCGTCTAAGGTCCCCTTATCAAATCTTATCAGGTGTTATCAGCTTCTGTCACACATCATGTCCACCCCCTTTCCCCTACACCACTTCTCGAAATCAATGTCCCACGGTTGCTGCAACCTGCGCTAAGAATTTGGTGACACCCGCGTCTAGGGTCCCTTATCGGATCTTATCAGATGTTATCAGCTCCTGTCAGCCCCCCATCTACGGCATATCACTGCTTGAAACCAAGGTCCCGCAGCTGCTGCAACTTGCCACGAATTCGGTCACCCTCCCCTTCTAAGGCCCCTTATCGAATCTTATCAGGTGTTATCACCTCCTGTCACCCACCTCCTATCCGGTTTACACCTGAAATCAAGTCCGGTGCTGAACCCGCATAGGTATCTGCGTAACGCCTTATCCATAGGGTTATCACTGCACCTCAAGTCTGCCTCCGTGTATACACTCGAAAACGGTCCCACGTGCTGCAACTTGCGCTACGATTTCGGTCACCCTCCCTTTTATGGCCCCTTATCGAATCTTATCAAAAGTTATCACCTCCTGTCACCCACCAAATGTGTTCCTGTCCCAACCCCTATATCGTATCTTGGAATGAACTTCCTAACGCTTTTTTTTAAAAACTTTGGGACCGGCGCTTCTATGAATTTCGTTGGAACACGACACAAACACACAACACACCACACACACACACACACACACACAACACAAAGACATCACAACCCAAAAATAAAACTAGCGATTATATATAGTAGGATGGCATTAATATGAGCTGAGCAGCCCTCTGAGCCAACTGATTGGGTTTTGAGGCGAGGCGCAGGAGTGGGGGCAGTGCTGCGCTAAAATCACCTCTGCTCTGCTCACTATCAAAGGCAGTTGGCACGATAAATAGCTATACAGATGTAGGATCATACGCTTTGGTTTTGCTCAACATGAATCCGTAACCTCGGACAGGCGCTCCGTGGCGCCTTTTCCAAGGAGGGTACCCCTATAACGCCCTATCGAGCAACACATTTCCGTCCCAAACGCCTTCCTCGCCCGCCCGCCCACAAATGGACGACCGTTCCTGACGCTCTAATCGATTCATTTGCTAAGCAAATTATGAAGCGAAGGGATTGGTATGAAGCGGCCGTGATGCTGCATGCATACATGGGTACACATATGCAGCCGTATCTTCGGTAGCGGTGATTGGCAAGATGCGTACGGGAAACTCGTCCGAAATCGATTTACAAGTCACTGAGAACGGAGGCTTTTTCTTCGCCGGATTTTGACCGTTTCACTCCGTTCTTTCGCCATTTCCCCACTACATAGCGCCCTACTAGCATTTTAGGCCGAGTGGGAAAAAAACGTGCCAACTGCCTTTGATACCTGACCCCACGACCTCCTCACTGGTCATCGCGGATTCTGCGCCACATGTGTGACCCTCTCTTCAATCCAGATCACTGCCGCAGTGTTCTCCTTCGTAGGGCAGCGTTCAGACTTCGCGACGGCGGGTTTGGTGTGATGCATACGTATCCCTTCTAATGTATCAATCGCGTCGAAAGCACGATCGAAGCGCTGCCCTCGCGAAGTCTAAACGATGTCTAATGCACTCCTTGTGACCATTGAAATTGATCAGTACTTTCTATTGAACTTTACATAATATGTGCCAGTTCACAGAATAGAAATAACGTTGCACGTTTACTATGGTTGATTTTCACGGCTGTTTGAAAATTTACAGGAACATGACAATTTCTTCAATTGCTGCACAACTGTTATGGCTGTCATTGACCTCGTTGCATTGAATCGCTTTTCAAACTCCTATTTTGACTACGTCGATCCTTTCTGGCAGCGCATGGACCTGGAATTGTTTTAAGTTTTTAAAGGAAGACATTGAAAAATCAGGATTTCAGAGCAGGGATTTCATATTGTTTGCAGAGGATTCCTTGCCCTGTGAGGTAGTCCTCTCAATTCCTCGAAAATTGTGTTCTTACTGATCTCGAATTAAACTTTCAAGTCTGTAAAATAGAGGCGTTTTTGACAGTCTCTCCTTTTCACTAAAAGGGCTCTTGACGGTTAAAGCAATTAAAAGATTTCAGTTTCGACCTGAAAGACAAGCACCTAACCTAAGTAATGCCTTTTTGAGTCCAAGCAAGACAAGCGCGCTACCGGTCACTGCACCACTTCTGCCTCATATATGAAGAAAGCCAAGCAGACGATT